ATATATATATATATACGAGAAAGTAAAAAGCGAGATATAGGATGAAGAATTTTAGAAACATTAAGCCGTAAAAGTGAAGTGGACGTTAAGGAATGAATGTTATGGCAGGAAGTAGATAAAATATGTATTGGTTTCTAAGAATTACGTTGTATTTAATAGTGTGGAAAAGGATGAGCCCTTAACACCTAAACTGTTATCTCTTAACAGTTAATGTGTCCTAACAATAATGCGTTATAACCGTTATTTCGGTTATCCTGTTGTTGGCTGTCATCGGTGGATATTCATAGTATTGCGATCTATTGGGTCAAACCCGAACTACTACAAGCTCTCGCGGCAACCATTTTGTACGAAAACAGTTCCACTGCAGCTAATCAATCATGATTAGCAAGTGTTCAAATTATAGATTCATTAATAAATAATTCATCATTATTACACACCATGTACCACAATATTTTATAGTTTACTGTATACACAAAAATAAAAAGTTGCCCTTTAAATTTGTTAAAATTCCAATCGGGTGATACGATCTCTAGCTACATGTGTGCCTAGCACCATGCACCTTGCCTTCTATTACTTCTATTACCATGCCTTCTAATACTTTTTCCTGTTGCCGGAAATATATTTTGCCTTGTTTTGAAATAAATAACCTGTCAACAGTTTCTGTGTGTCCGGTGTTCATTGTTGTTAAATATTTAGCTCAGCCCACAGGTTATGTGTCAAGAATCTACGCAATAACACCGCGCGTAAAATATTGAAATCAAGCATTGCTAGAAAATCTCGAGGTTTGGTTCTCGCATTGGAAGTTCAATATGACGTCGTGAAAAGGCGTAAGGTTCGAAACACTGAGCAAAAAGAACTACGAAGAACGGCGAAGAACTACGTCGGGCATTATCCTTGCAATTCAACCATCCGACCAAATTAAAGGAGGTGTCACCTCTCGTGTTCCGTGGGCTATGAAGAAATATCAGTCCAAATGACCCGCTTGAAAGGCCGCCCTTCTAAACCAGGTCATCTCGATGAAAATCCAGGATTGAGACGACACTCGACAAAACACCCGAAAATTCTTTAATATGATAGACAAGCCTGCAGAAACAGAGGAAAATATCAATCAAGATTTATTGACTAGCGCATTGTTACATAGTCTACCAGTCGTCTTCAAAAACTTTCGGTGCGCCATAAACTCGCGTGATGTGATGCATACACCCGGAAACTTACTATTAAGATCGAAGAGGAGTTCCATACTGGAAAAGACAACGGTCGAAGCACAAATAAGAACGATGGTCGCGGGAAACCCGGTAAGAGTAATTGGAAGAGAGAACGCGATCAACACGAGGAACAGAAACGAGACGTATTTTAAGGATGAAATGTTACATCTGCGAAGAACTTAGACACCGCCCAAAGAAATGCAAGCAGGTGCATAAGTCAACACAACAATTTGCAAGCAGTGGGGAATACATATCCCCGTGTGTTCCATCGAATGCAGCGTCAAGCAAGTGTTTTCTAACCGGAAATGGCGTAAGTAGTGACAGTTGGTGTCTCAATAGTCGATGCACTTGGCAAATGTGCAAAGACAATGTGTTCAATGATATTAACAAGACGGCACATGAAAAGTCAACCTAGCCAGTAACTTGAGTACTGAGGTGAAAGGTGAGGGTAGTGTATCGACTATTTTATATACAAACGGCAGCTTTCTGAACACGTTCTTCGTCTCTCTCCGTCTCTCTCTCTCTCTCTCTTCTCTCTCCTCTTCTCTCTCTCTCTCTTCATTCATCTCCTCTCTCCCTCCTGCCCTCTCTTCCGGTTCTCACATTTTCTCTGTTCGTCTCTCCGTTTCTCTCTCCCTCTGTCACTGTTTCAGTCTGACTGAGTCTGAGTCTCTCTATTTGTCCCTGTCACTCCCTTTCTCTTTCTCTCTGTCTCTCCGTATCTGTGTCTCTTTAGACCTTCTCAGTATCGCCCACCATCACACGGCAACACTCAGCAACATTGAAGCTCATGTGGAGCACAGATTGAATAGAAATTGAATGAAAATGAAACGCAATTTTGTTCTGCAACGCCATCTAGTAGAGTTACAACAAAATTTAAAAAAGCAGATAAACCTTCTGAGTCAAAAACAATTAGATGTGCCAATTTTAATGGAGACCGGCCTCGAAGAGTCGAAGTTTACCGCTATAATATATATATATATATATATATATATATATATATATATATATATATATATATATATATATATATATATATATATATAAGGCTGTATCGAAAAAATTGAATTAAATGGCTTAGTGAAAATATAATTTTCGATCCAAAAACTACCACAATAAAATCGTTTTTAAAATGGTATTAACATTTTAAAATCATTAATTAATATTTTTTCATTTTCTAAAAAGAAGCAAAAATGTCCCAGCAAAGGGGTGTTTGTGGCACCCCTAACCCCATGTTAAAAACGGTTTTTTTGATGGTTGATGTTCTTGCATCGAAAAAATAACATTTTTCACTAAGCTATTGACTTTTATTTTTTAATAAAGCCTTATTGGGACCAATCACGTATTCTCATATGAGGATTATTTCACCTTCCATCTCATAATTAGACAACTAGTGACTTATGCAGTGATACCGCAACAGTGAACAAAGTACTAAAATGATCAGCGTAGTAAAATCGACCCCTCAAATCGACCTGCACGAACTGCACCAAAGATTCACAAAAACAAATCGCCCCACTTTAACTAGAAGAAGCTTCGTGAACAGGACGTTCTCGTCGGTAGTAAAGACAAAAGGAAATATGTTGCAATCTGTCTGTAAATCGTTTCGAAAAGAGTCTCCACAAGTGGTAATTATTCTGATTATAATACTGTTCTTGGTGATTAATGATGCGTTTATTTCTATGAAGAAATGTTCACGTTTTCGCAGTTTCGCAATTTTTGTGAAAGATGTTAGCATACCACACTACGTATTCTCTTCCACAGCCTCTTTTGTATTGGGTTTAATTTTCCTGATTAAATAATTATATATCGGATATACCATCCTCCCAATCACTGTGCCACAATGTCACCTCCCAATCACACGGGAATGGTATTATATTAAATTCAATTGGAGCTGATTTATGACTGGGGGTACCGAGCCACCTACGTGTTCGTAACGATAGCACTTCCACAGACGGCTGGATCCCGGATTTGCATTCTGCCAGTGAGAGCTAAAGTAGAACTTCACCACTACGAGATAATTGATAAGGACGACGCTCGAAATTTGTCATCCGAGAAGAGGGGCGGTCCAGGGACAACCACGTTTATCAAACGAAGTATTCTTATCCTATGTTGTTATATTATTGTATATGAAGCGCTCTACCCGCACGGTGTTGCGCGCTTTCGTGCCGATCCTCTACAACGCCCGCAAACGTCAGCATTCGGGAAAATGGGTTACTATTTTGCAGATTTTATACGTTTACAACTTTTCAACGTTTAAGAATGAATACTAGGAAGCTCATTGTACTCAAAATACTGTAAATACATAACAATTTTTCATTATATATTGTGGAGTTTATGTTACGAAGCAACGAATGTTACGAGTTAGTTGACGATGCACAA